ACCCCCCCTTATTTTTTTATATTTAAATTATCTTATTTTCCCAAGTTAATTTTCTGTTCCTCCTGTGATCAGAACCAGTTTGGGTATCATGATGGAAGTCTGTGCCCCGAAGATGTAACGGGGTCCCGACCTCATGAGGCAGGTGCTACAGGAAGTGGCCCCTTGGTCCTGGCAGGTATGCAAAGATCAGGTCTTGACCCAGTAGACGAGAAACACTGTAATGGAAGCTTGAGGAAACAGCCCACAGCTCACTCAGTAGAGGACAGCAACGGCCAGCGTTACAGCGCAGACCCAACTGTCCCGCTGGGAGAGAAAGGACAGAGGGAAGATACAGATGAGGATGGTTATATGTCCCCTATGAAGGACAAGATCTCCACAAGTATACTCACAAATCAATTATTATACACCGTCATTGTTCACTCACTCTCATTTCATTCCAAACATGTATGACATTCTTTCTCCTGTGAAACGAGGAGACATTTTAAAGAATGTATTTGTAATTTATGCAATTACAATGACTGGGGAAGTTTTGAGTATTAATTTAATCATATCCAATATTTATATGTCTTTTTAGATCAGTTCAGACTGGATCAGTTCAGAAAACTTGGAATATATAGCACTTAGGTTGTATGGACCACTTTTATGATTTTTAATGCTTTTTAGAGCTGGACAGCTCCTCAATCTAGGTCCTCAATCACTTGAATTATATTTAAGAAAAGTGGCCAAGATATTATTAGCAATTAACAATGTATTATTAAGAATTAACAATGTTTCACTGAAGAAAGAATCTCCATTGAAAAGTCATGAAATGACAGTGAAGGTGCACTAAGTGAGTGTTTCCACTTTCTAATATATTATTTTACATCTGAAGAAACAGTATACTTGCCTATATAGCTTTGAAATGATTTCACCTTTTAGCAATTCCATATACTTTCTTAAATGAAGAGTCATGGATAAAAAAGTATGTCAACATTGTTTTACCCATGCCATTGTCCGTCATCTCTGCAGATCATCTGAATCCCGTTGAGGAGAACCCTTTTGTAAAAAGGCGTAAAAATAAAGACCTTCACGCTCTAGACAACCCGGGTTACCACAGCACCCCTGATGGAAAATCCAAGTGTGAAGATGAATATATCAGTGACCCCCTTTACCTCAACACATTCAACAACACCAGCGACATGAACCAGGAGATGTTAAGGAGAAATGGAATCTCTATCCCATTGCAGGTGACCACAGCGGCCCACACTCCAGACACCCACGTTCCCCACATCACACAAATGGGTAAACCCCATCATCACAGCCATGGACTACACGTTCACTTCACCATACCACCAGTTCAGCCTGTACACCCTGATCAACATACTCATTCAGTTCAGTCGGTGCATGATTGCGGCAGAAAATCTGGCCCTCCAGCACCAGCAGGCCAGATCTGCCTAGTGAGCCATCAACCAGGGCACCCAAGCAAATCTAATCATTCGCCCCAACAGTTTCACTTGCCAAAGTCCAGTAAAGGTGGCACAACAGGCCTACCGGGTCACCCAGCGCAAGTGCACAAGATGTACAAGAATAGCTTTGACAATCTCGAGTATTGGCAGCACAGCCTCCCACCCAAGGTTACCCCTCAAAACTCCCAAGACTCTTCAGTGATCTGCAATAACAAGTTCCTTTACAAGCAGAATGGCCTTGCCGTGGCTGAAAACCCTGAATATCTGTTAGGTATGAAGCCAGGAACAGTCCTGCCTCCTCCTCCGTACCGGCAGAGGAACACTGTGGTCTAGTGTCCAGGTCTCCATTCTCTGTAGATCCTGGTTCTTCAACCAGCACCTTAAATGTCTTTCCTTGATCCTCTGGTGGTCAAAAATGGGACGAGAAACAATATAAGCCACTGAACTGACATTATGTCACAGAAAATATGGCATAACAACCATGGGGGAAAAGGTCAACACAGCCCATCCAAACATCATCCATTCCCAAAGACCTCACCAGTCATCCAGGAACTTTTTTTTCTCCTCTACAGGTATTTTAAAGTTTCTCATACAGGATGGCACATAATCAGATGTAGTAATATCATTAATTTGGTTAAATTAGATATTAAGTACACTTAAAAATAAAAGTTCCAAAATGTGGTTTTCACAGCAATGCCATAGAAGAGGGGTGTCCAATCCTGCTCCTGGAGGGCCAAGAGTTTAGTTCCAACCAGCTCCGACACACTTGCCTGGAAGTTTCTAGTGAGTCTCAAGACTTTGATTACGTTGGTTCAGGAGTGTTTTATTAGGGTTGAAGCTAAACTCCCACAGGACAGTAGCAGGTTTGGTTTGGACACCACTACCATAGAAGAACCATTTTGGGTTCCCCAAAGAACCTTTCAGTGAACAGTTCTTAAAAGAACAAATGATCCTTAGTGTGAAGAACTCCTTAACAATCTGAAGAACCTCTTTCCATTATAAAGAACATTTTGTGCAATGGAAAGATTCCATGGATGTTAAAGGTTCTTTGTGGAACCATATATGCCAATAAAGGATGTTATTTTTTTAAGAGTGTACAGCAGGTGGTTCCATTTGGATGTGTGAAATTAAAATTTTCAATCTGAATGGGCAGAGGAGTGAATATGCACTTAATTTTTTATATTTTTATGACTGGAACACTTGCACTTTTTCAGCACATCCTTCATACGACTAAAACTGCTGCCCTACTGGGGCGACTACTGTTAGACCTGAGAGGATTGGGAAATTCTGGACAGTTGAGCACAATGAGTTGAATAAGAGGCTGATAAAGGCTCTGAGAGGCATTTGTTCGTATTGGGAATACAATAAAATAATCGTCAAGTGGGGTTATCACCATTTGGTGAGCAGTGAACTCACCTGTTGAGAGATATGAAGAATTAATTATCAGGAAGAATGGCACTGAAAGGTTTACAGGGTGTTTACATTAATTTACTTTATCGGTACCTGAATTGAGTAAGCACGGACAAAGGCTGTCTGGGAACTTTAATTCTCCTTTGACATATTTTTTAACTGTTACTTTTGAGTTCTTACTGGTTAAAAGACCTAATGCAAGTTAGTCGATATGCTATCAAAACATTGAAGTCAACATGAAATTGACCCTGTTTACTTGTTAAATGTTCCTGGTGTTCCATGTTTTTCCAGCAATCAAATGTTTCATAATCGTTCATATTATTGTAGAATGCCTTCCACCTCTGAAATTAATTTCCTTTTTGGCTGACATTAAACCACACTGTAAATTCTAGTTAGTAAACCTTACTTTTAAAAAGCATGCAAACCAATTGCCTTGAAAAAAAAGCAACTAAAGTGAAATAAGAATAGGTTTTTGTACTAACAAAGCTTTGTTTAGTGTTTCAAACTGACACGCAAGTTCTGGAACTACTATTGTCAACAACTAAATGATTAAGTACAAAATAGTATGTATGTATTTCAAACAACACATTTAAGTTGAGCTAATTAATGTAACATTTCCTGCAACTTGGAATTTCTTAGTTGTATTTACTTGAACAGCAATCTAATTTACTTGCTAAAAGCATGCAAACCGACTGCCTTAAAAAAATACAAGTGTTACTCCAGTAACTTAAGTACTTCAAACATCCATTATAAATTAATTAAAACAATGTTCCATTCTTCACACATGGAATTACACATACATTTAAGGTAGTGACAGTTCAAAGTTAAATATATTAAATATATTTTTTAATGGTTTTCTACAACTGCCATTGCTCCTTGCCCCTACCAATGCAGTTTTAACTTCTATTACAAACATTTTGAAACAATGCAAAAACAATCTGATTTAGGGTATGCTTCTTGTAAACAGTGTAGGTAGCAGAAGGATACGTTTACTGTAAGTATGACAACGTGTGCGGCCAAACCAGTGCCATTGGTTCAAAAAGTCACTTTAGTTTTAGTTACTTTTTTTCTGTCCCAAGTCAAGCATCACACTTTGAATGAACCTTGAATTAACTGATTTCACAACATTGTGGTAATCCAAATGTAGCAGTGATCCAAATGTACCATATGACAGTCTGGAAGCAAATGGTTGAGGTAGATTCTGGAGACAGTTCTTTGCAATACTACCCTAAATAATGATGGCAAAAGACACAGGGTCAAGGTAGAGAAGATTTGGAGAAGTACATCTTCATCTATTATAGTCAGCAACCTGATAGATACTAGTGCCCAGACTGCATCAACATCAGACATCTGTATAAAACCAAACAAAAACAATATTAATAGGGAAATGTGGATGATCAGTTGTCACAATGTTATCTGTCCTGCCTACACTGCCATGTCTTTGGGTTAGTTCACCAAAAAATTTAATTTGGCATTATTTACTCATTAATGACTTGCATTCATTTTTGGAAAACAAATGAAGACATTTTCAAAGAAATCTGAGAAATTTCTGTCCTTCAACTGAATGTCTATTCAACCAAAACTTTAGACAGTTGATCATATCAAGCGATCATGTCCCTTCAGAAGACTTGAGCTGCTTTTCCATCGTCAGGCCAAACCATTCTTGTTGCTTAACCTTTCCATTCCGTGCTGGTCCAGGCCCAAGCAGATACGGATATGGTTTCATTTTTCACTGTTAGGATGATAACAGAGCCCTTTGCAATGCAACACAAATGTGTCAGTCATTGTAATGCAAGAGTTAAGATCAGAATCAGAAGGAGCGTTATTACCAAGTGTTTACACACACAAGAAATTCGACTTGGCGACAGGTTTCAGTGCAGAAGAAAAAAGTACACACATAGTGCAAACATACATAGAATCACACAGTAAAGATTACACTAATATAAGAAAAACAGAAAAATAAATAATACACTATATACAGAGATAGAAATATAGAGAAAAAAACATAATTGTTTAAATGAATGTACAGGTATGTTATTTATTTTGTACAGTTTATGTAGTTTACAATACAATTTCCAGATGCTATGTATAAAAGTGTCACTTATGATGGACAGTGTGCAGTTGTGAACTTTTTATTGTTCAGGCTGAATATGGCCTGCGGGGAAAAAACTGTTCTTGTGCCTGGCTGTTCTTGTGGTCAGTGCTCTCTAGCACCGACCAGAAGGCATCAGTTTGAAGAGAGATTGTGCTGGGTGTGTGGGGTCCAAAGTGATTTTACCAGCCCTTTTCCTCAATCTGGAGGGGAGCACCAATTATCCATACGGTACAAGATGTAAATATTTAAATTTTACTATTAATTTGTCATAACTTTGCTCAAATAGCTTGCTTGGCCAGCTACAGTGAAACTGGTGGCTAGGCAACAGACAAATGACCAATCCTGAGCAGCGACATCACTACAGGCACACATCACGGGTCAGCATAGTTGGCTAAGAATTTCACATCAAGAACGGTTTGTAATCAGACCATGCCTAACCAAGTTCAAGTGAAAATATAACTGGAACTGCTTCTTACCATTCTTAGAACCATTTGGCCCAAAAGTAGAAAAGCGCCTTTAGATTAAACCGCTCCATTCATATGGATATATTTTATGATTTCTTTACTAACATTTTTGGAGGTTTGGGTCAACAGACTTTCAAAAGAGGAATAGAAATCTCTCATTGTTATTTTTTTTATTAAAATATCTTAATTCATGTCATGAGGATGAATACACGTTTCGAATGACATGAGAGAGATTAAATGGCAGAATTTTCATTTTTGGGTTAACACAATCAGCATTAATCTTTATATAAGTATCTCAGCAATATACCAGAAAATACCTAGGAAATTTTCCCACAATTATGTGTTCTTTAAGGTGTAACTAAGAGAACTTACAAAGCAGGTTAGTTGTACAAGTATCTGGGGTAATCACAAAGTAAAACAGGTAGGCCTCGGATGGATGTGCAGTGCTGTCAAATCTGGGTTTTAGAAGTAAAAATAAATAAATAAAGTTTAAGACATTCAGAAGTTACAGTACAAATATGTTTGTCAAAGTGTCAATAAATAATTAATTGACACTTTATTTTAAAATACTGAAAACAATTTAGGTAGCAACATAATTTTTTTAAGGGTTGTAGGGTGTAAAGTGTCCTCTTAGATCTGGAAAAAAATACAATGGTTACAGGTATACTGCATCTGAAAGAAATTATTTGAAATTGTAAATGAAGTGTAGCACAGTGATTACTGAGTCAAAAACTGCTCTACTGCTGGGCATAACATCTTAAGATGAAATACCTCACATCCAGTGTACTGAGGACCATGTTGATGAGACTGGTGTTCAGAGAAGGCAGTTGCCAAATGTGTTGGCAGTTGTTTTCCTAAATATGAGAAATAATTATTTGGTTAAAAGGAAGTTCCACTAGTGTTGTGGCTTGTAGATTAGAGACACATTCATTACTTGATATGTGCATGCGTTACAAGGATTACATAAAGAAAGAAAGAAAGAAAGAAGATATATGCATTTCTATACAAATCTATTTGAGGCCTTAGTCATAAAACCAATTCAAAAGCAGCATTTCCTCTGTATTACCATAGTAAGTGTTCCAACACAGCAAAGAAATAACAATTAACTACAAGACAAAGAGCTCATTTAGTTTAAACCTCAAAGGTGTAATTATGTAATGACTATGATTGTGACATATTAAAAAAAAATGCTGAAAATAAAAAATAACCTGAAAAGTGACCAAAGCATCACAGTGTTATAAAATTATAGAAAGAACACTGCAAAAGATTACTGTAAACAATTAATTATATCCATGGGACATAAAGATTGATTTCAAAACCTGGTGAGAGCTCATCTTGGCAGCTTTTGGAATGCTCTTGAAATGTACCTTGGAATTTCCATGTTGTAAATGTTTAACTTAAAACCAATATACGTTTGTTTCATCAACTCGAGGTAAAATAGTAAACTAGCTACAAAGTTTTAAATTGGAGACAGTAAAAAAAGCCTTTCATTTGCCAAAATACGCCACATGTTATAACAGCAGAATAGCCGAGATCTTTGGTCCCTGTTCAGCCTAGATCAGACAACACGACTTTAAAGTCACCATGAAATCAAAAATGACTATTCTAATTGTTTTACCTAGTGTTGA